GGCTCTGGCTTCCCACACCCTCGACCTCCAGCGCACTCTGTCCTGCAATGTCACGAGGCGCCCCCCGGGCCGGCGCACTCTCCGCACGTCACCCGTCACCGACCGGCAGTGTCCGCGAGCTTCCCCTCAGGCCCCCCGGATCCCGCGGACCCGCTCAGCCGGCGAGAACTCGGCCGCCCCGAGAACGAGGGACGGCAGAGGCGGGGCGCAGCAGGGAGCTCTCCAACCGGAGAGTTCCAGGGCGCGGAGTCTGGCGTCCCTCCCCGCCCGCGGCACAACTGCGGGACGAGGGGAACCCCCGGTGAGGGGCGGGCTCCCCCAGTCCGCGAGTCCCTCCCCACACAGCGGACGGCGTTCCCACTCGCGCCCGGTCTCCCGCAGAAGCCCCGCCGCCCCACAAACCAGAAGGAGAAGCGGAAACGCCTCCGGGAACCGTCACCGCCGCCCTCATCCTGCCGCCGCCTCCAGGAGCGTCGCCGCCCCGCACTCACCGCGCGCATCTCGCAGGCGACGCCGGACGCGGCGGTTCGGGTCACGGCCCTCGCCCGCGCGGTTCCCAAAGCCGCTGCGGGTCCAGCCGGGGCCTGCCCGCGCCCCTGCCGCGGCCCGCTCGCCGCCAGGGCCCGTGTCCGGCCCCGCGGCCCGGCCCCGCGTCCCCGCCCCGCCGGCCCTCGGCTCACCTGGGCCTCGACGACGCGCGAGAGGAAGCTCAGGGTGACCAGCAGCTGCACTGCGGCCGCCCCCCGCACGGCGCCGGCCCGCCGGGCCCCCGGCTCATGCTGACCTCTCCCCACAGCGCGACCAGCTGGGCCCCCGGGGCCGGGGAACGGTGGGCGGCCCGGGCGACGACCCAAGGTGACGGCTCCCGGCGGTTGAGAGGCTCCAGGGCCAGAGGTCCAGCCTTGCGGACGCGGGGGACGCCCTCCCCGGCTCCCGGCAGCTGCGAGTGAGGCCGGAGAGCCGGGCGCCCCTACTTCATCTCCCAGGCTGCCCCGCCCCCGGCTTCCCTTACGCCCCGGCCACGCCCCCGCCGATCGCGGGGCCTGGTGGGAGTTGTGGTTCCTGCGCGGCTGCGGGCCCACCTCCTGCGGGGGGGCGGGGCCGGCGGCGGGGGTAGCCCGGGAGCTGCGGCGGCGCCGGCCGCTCCGCCTCCCCCACGGCGGCCAATGGTACAGGACCACGCGAGCCTCCAAAACAAGAAGCGCTGCGGGAGGGACTCCGCCCCCCTCCGCCGGCCGCCGCGCCAACCCCTCACGGGTGATGGCTAGTGGAATCCCGGCCGGGGCTGAGGCCTGGGTGGCCGGTCCTAGACGCCGCACAGCCGGAGGACTCCGGGACGCGCCCCGCGGGGCCTTCGACTGCCGGCCGGGCGCGCTCTGCGTCTCCTGCGGCGGCCGCAACCTCCGGGGCCAGTTGGGGCCCCGCTAAGCACCGGCCACTCGGCGAGGCGGCCCCGTCTCCTCTTCAACCTCACGGCCCGCAGGCGTGGACGCGGTCCCCTCCTCGGTCCGCTCCCACTCCCTGCGGAGCGGACCGCGCGC